GCGCGCGCGCGTGCCTGGCATGCTGTAAGAGAAGCTTTATTCAGTTCATTCAGAAAACAAGGGGAAAATAATTTTCAGTTGCAAATTCACAGATACAAGCTTTGAAGTATAAAGTTTTACATAACAAAAAAATGGGTACTATTGTACAACAATAACTTGCAGACATAAACTAATGATAAACTACAATTTCGCAAAGGAATGTAAACATTTTGCACATTTTCCAATCTTTTCTTTGAGGCAAAGTGCTCTTCTGATGACAAATAAAAACTAGGACCTTTTTTTCTGGCATCCCTATTTCTATTAAAGAACCCACTGTCCTTCCTACAAGTCTATCGCTCTGAGAAAACCCTACTATCTGGCTAGAAGTGTCTATTCATCTCCATGTTTCCTTCCCCAACTCAAATTTCATGTCTCACCTGAATCATTTTAACAGCAGAGTTGCTCTCCCTGTGTCCAATCTCTACCTGGTCATATCTCTATGGACAGACTCAAGCCCTGATCACAGTCTGATGGCTTCATATCAGTGCTCACAACCCTTCACAGGCTCCAGATGCATTTAGACTTTTTTTTTTTTTTAAAAAAAAACATTCAACAGAAGTTTATTGTATATTATTATTGTAGAAGCCCTGAGGGCAATATGATTAAAAGATTCAATCCCATCCCCAAGGAATTTACAGCCTCTATAGACAAACAAAAAATTCCAATCACCTTAGAATTAGGTAACATAACTTTCTACCTATAGTTCTTTTTGGCTCCAATCTGTCTAACTTTATCTGTATCGTTCATGTCCCTACAAGCATTTCTGCTCCCCCAAAGTGTAGGGCTTATTATTGGTACTATAAAAACATTTCTTACCTCTGGGCCCTGGTTTCTGCTTGCAAAGCATCAAGGCCCATCATCAAAATCCCAGTAGCTGTTGATGATCTACCCTCAGCCAGTTCTAACAGCAAGACAGTTACTCTGTCCTAGCTCTTCTAGTAGAGAAAGTCATCTATGCTGCTCTTTGCTCTGGGCTCAGTTGTCTCTTTTTAAGAAATGTGTTATATGGTACACCAATGCTCACAGCAGCATTATTCACCACTGCAAGATCATGGGAATAGCCCAAATTCCCAGCCACAAGCGAATGCATTGAGAAATTATGGTACACTCACACAATGGAATACTACGCAGCATGCAGGAGCAATGATTTTGTAAATTATTACCTAACTTGGGAGGGTCAGGAGAGCATTATGCTGAGTGAACTAACTCAGTCCCACAAGGACAGAAACTGTTTAAGACCATTATTGTAGAAACAGAACAATAACTAGTAAAACGTGTATGAGAGTCCGGGGGGAGAGGAGGGTAGGAGCAGAGGGGTGTGGATGGGTAGGGAGTAATCAAAGAGTAGCATGATCTGATGGGTAGAGGGAGGGGTGAGTAAAGAAAATGGGAAAGACCCAATGTGAAAAACAATGTATAAGAATTTTGTAAGTAAAACAGTATAAAATAAAAATTTCATTTAAAAAAAAAGTGTTATAAATGGTGCTGGCAAAGCTGTGGATCCATCTGATAAAAAAAATGAAACAAGTTCCACACTTCACACTATATACAAAAGCTAACTCAGGATGGATCAAAGATGTAACACCCAAAACTGTAAAAATCATCAGAGAGTCTTATACAGTATTTGTCCTTATGGGACTGAGTTAGTTCACTTAGCATAATGCTCTTCAGTCCCTCCCAAGTTAAGTAGTGATTTATAAAATCATTGCTCCTGCATGCTGCATTGTATGAATGTACCACAATTTCTCAATCCATTCTATTGTGGTTGGATATTTGGGCTGTTTCCATGTTCTTACAATGGTGAGTAACACTGCTATGAACAATGGTGTACAAGTCTCTGTTTGTGCCTCAGTCTCATTTTCTCAGGGTCTATTCCAAGCAGTGTATGAATAGCTGGGTCGTACTATTTTACAATCTCACCAACAATACTGTATAAGACCATTAATGTAAGGGGAGCTCTGGTGGCCTAGTGGCAAGGAGCTGCAACTACAATCCCAGAGGTGCACGGTTCGAATCCACCAGATGCTCTGCTGGGAAAGGAGGGACAATCTCCTCCTGTACCAGTCAAATCTGATTTGACGGTACACGCACACAAAAATAATAATAAAATTAAAAAAAAAAAGACCATTAATGTAGACCATGTATGAGGATCCAAGGGAGAGAGGGGGAAGCAGAGGAGGGAGAATGGGTGGGGAGAGGAGGAGTTTAATTATAGGGTCACAAAATTTGATGGGTTGAGGGAGGGGTGGGTAAAGGAAATAGGAAAGATCTGGTATGAAAAACAATGGCTATGAACTTTGTAAGTATAAAATAAAAATTTTATTTAAAAATAAGCATCAAAGGAAAAAAAAGAGAAGTACGCTTAGGGGTTCAAATTTATGGTATAAGTGGGCTATCATCATAACAAAAACTGCACAAACAGCAGAAGATAAACTAGACAAATGGGAGTTTCTAAAAGTTAATTCTTCTGTATACCAGAAGAGTTCTCCAAAAGAGAGAAAAGAAAAATCTACAGACTAGACAAACTATTTGGCAAGGTCATGCTGATAAGGGACTTATCTCTGAAATGTACAGAAAATGTCAACATATATGCAAAAGAGAACTCAATTAAAAAATGGGTAGAGGACATAAAGACACAAAGGAAAAAAATCAGATGGCCAATACACACATGAAGACATGCTTATGGTCATTATCCCTTCTTGTTGTTGTTGTTGTTGTTGTTGTTGTTGTTACGGGCCAGTTAACTCGGAGGTAACTTATAGTTGATCCTCCAGCAGGTTATCAGAGGCTGTAAATTGCACAGGAGATAGTCCAACATTCAGCTGATATGTGGCTGGTGAGGTAGAACCACATGCCTTTGGGTTTGCAATACAATTCTTTACCACTAGGTCCTCTGAGCGTCCATATCCATAATTATCATTGTTATGTGCTGTCAAGTTGACTGTGACTCCTTCCAGCCCTATGCACAATAGCTTTGAAGCCTGCTCTATCCTGAGCTAATCTCACCCCAACACACCTACACCCATTATCCCAGTTACTGTGTCAATCTAGAGTCTTCCTCTCCTGTGCTGTCCCTCCACCCTTCCATACATGATATCCCTCTCCAGGAAATGGTCTTTCCTGGTAACATGCCCAAAGTATATGAGATGGAGCTTCAAAATCTTCGCTTCCACGGAGTAACTTTCACACTTTCCAGGACACATTTGTTTGTTTTTGTGGCAGTCTATGATATGTTCGATACTCTTCTCCAGCACCACAACTCAAAAGCATCAATTCTTCTTCTGTCATCCCTAGTCATTGTCCAGCTCTCTGATGCATAGCAAGCAATTGAGAAGACTGGATCAGGCGCATCTTAGTCTTTGGAATAACATCGTGCTCTTTCATACTCTAGAAATGTCCCTGACGGTATATTTCCCCAATGCAGTTCATCTTTTTATTTCCTGACTTCTGGTGCCAAGATTGTTGATTGTGGAACTGAGCAAGCTGAAACTGTTAACAATCTCAATCTCTTCTCCATCTATCATGATGCTGCCAATTGTCCCAATGCTGAAAATTTCTGTTTTCATGATGTTGATCTCCAATTCATATTGAAGACTACAGCCCTTGACTTTCTGCAGCAAATGTTTTATGTCGTTCTCAGTTTTGGCAAGCAAGATTGTGTCATCTGTATAACAGCAGGTTGTTGATCAGTCTTCCTCCAATCCTGATACCATGTTCCTTTTCATAAAGTCCAGCCTCCTGAATGTCTGCTGATGCACTCCTTTCTTTATTTTAAACCATGCACTGTTCCCTTGCTCTGCTCTGATGACTGCTTCCTGGTTCAAGTATTCACATGAGCACCATCAGGTGTCCAGGGATTCCCATTCTTCGCAAGGTTAACCACAATTTGTTGTGATCCACACAGTGGAATGCCTTTGCATAGTCAATGAAATACATCAAGACAATAATGAGATATCATTTTACCCTAGCAACAGTAGCAAAGTTCAATAAGCAAGGAAATAGCAAATGCTGGTGAAAGTATTGAAACTCATAGTCTGGTGATAAAATGGTTATAAAATAGTGTAATTACTCTGGAAAAAGTATGGCAACTCCTTAAAAAAACTGGAAATGCCATTTGACCCAGCAAACCCAGTACTAGGTATGTATTTCAAGAAATAAGAGCTGAGACATGAACAGATGTACGCAAACC